TGCGTGATCACAAAGATGATGGCAGTATTCGGTTTCAAAGCTCATGTGTTCCCTTTTGCATCCCCAGATCCCCATTACTCATCTCGATGGTGATTCAAACATAACAACGAGAAAACTGTTTCATTTTTGAGGACCATTTTATGTTTTGAATCAAATCTCAAATGATATGATATTTGCAATATACTCTTAATATTCGACTTGAACTTGAGACAATAAGGCAGATCTCAATGCATGAAAATATAAGAATAAGTCATATCTCGATACCTTCGAACCGTACAAGTTGATTCAAATCTCAATGCCTTCAAACATGAAATTATTCTTCAATCATTCTCCCATTACAACAACTAATATCTCAAAGGCTTCAAGCATTACAACAAGTCATATTTAAATTCCCTCATATCTCATCATCACAAGTAATATATCAATACCTTCAAAGATAACAACAAGTCATATCTCAATACCTTCAGACATAATAAGGAATAGCTCAATGCCTTTAAACATAACAACAAGTCATATCTCAATACCTTCAAACATTAAAACATTATATCTCAATGTTCAAGCATTACAACAAGTCATATCCCAAATGTTTTAATGCATAACAACAGGTCATATTTAAATGCCCTCAAAACATAAGAGCAAGTCATATCTCCAAGCCTCGAGCATTACAACAAGGCATGTCTCAAAGGTTTCAAGAAAAACAACAAGTCACATCTAAAAGGCTTCAAGCATAACAGCAAGTCATACTAAAATACCCTCAAAATATAAGAGCAAGTCATATCTCCAAGCCTCAGACATTACAATAAGGCATATCCCAAAGGCTTCGGGCATAAGTGGTGATATCTCAAAGCTTCAAACATTAGAACAAAGCATATCTTAAAGGCCTTAAGCATAACAACAAGTCATATCTCAAATCCTCAAACATTACAACAAGGCATATCATCTCAAAGGCTTCAAGTATAAAATAAGTATATCTCAAAGCTTAAAACATTACAGCACAGCATATCTTAAAGGCCTTAAGCATAACAACAAGTCATATCTCAAATCCTCAAACATTACAACAAGGCATATCTTAAAGGCCTTAAGCATAACAACAAGTCATATCTCAAATCCTCAAACATTGCAACAAGGCATATCATCTCAAAGGCTTCAAGTATAAAATAAGTATATCTCAAAGCTTAAAACATTACAGCAAAGCATATCTTAAAGGCCTTAAGCATAACAACAAGTCATATCTCAAATCCTCAAACATTACAACAAGGCATATCTTAAAGGCCTTAAGCATAACAACAAGTCATATCTCAAATCCTCAAACATTACAACAAGGCATATCATCTCAAAGGCTTCAAGTATAAAATAAGTATATCTCAAAGCTTAAAACATTACAGCAAAGCATATCTTAAAGGCCTTAAGCATAACAACAAGTCATATCTCAAATCCTCAAACATTACAACAAGGCATATCTAAAACATTTTCAAGCATAACAACAAGTCATATTTAAATGCCCTCAATACATAAGAGCAAGTCATATCTCCAAGCCTCAAACATTACAACAAGGCATATCTCAAGGGCTTCAAGCATATTAAGTCATATCTCAAAATCCTCAAACATTACAACAAGGCATATCCCAAAGGCTTCGAGCATAAAATAAATATATCTCAAAGCTTAAAACATTACAGCAAGGCACATCTTAAAGGCTTTAAGCATAACAACAAGTCATATCTCAAATCCTCAAACATTACAACAAGGCATATCTCAAGGGCTTCAAGCATAACAACAAGTCATATCTCAAATCCTCAAACATTACAACAAGGCATATCCCAAAGGCTTCGAGCATAAAATAAATATATCTCAAAGCTTAAAACATTACAGCAAGGCACATCTTAAAGGCTTTAAGCATAACAACAAGTCATATCTCAAATCCTCAAACATTACAACAAGGCATATCTCAAGGGCTTCAAGCATAACAACAAGTCATATCTCAAATCCTCAAACATTACAACAAGGCATATCCCAAAGGCTTCGAGCATAAAATAAATATATCTCAAAGCTTAAAACATTACAGCAAGGCACATCTTAAAGGCTTTAAGCATAACAACAAGTCATATCTCAAATCCTCAAACATTACAACAAGGCATACCATCTCAAAGGCTTCAAGCATAAAATAAGTATATATCAAAGCTTCAAACATCATTACAAGGCATATCACAAAGGCTTCAAGCATAACAACAAGATATATTAAAATTCCCTCAAAACATAAGAGCACGTCTTATCTCCAAACCTCAAGCATTACAACAAGGCATATCTCAAAGGCAACAACTCATATCTCAAAGCCTCAAACATTACTACAAGGCATATCTCAAAGGCTTCTAGCATAAAATAAGTATATCTCAAAGCTTAAAACATTACAGCAAGGCACATCTTAAAGACCTTAAGCATAACAACAAGTCATATCTCAAAGCTTCAAACATAACAAGGCATTTCTCAAAGGCTTCAAGCATAACAACAAGTCATATCTCAAAGCCTCAAACATTACAACAAGGCATATCACAAAGGCTGTAAACGTAACACTTAGTCATATCTCAATACCATCAAACATTAGAGCAGGTCATATTTCACTCCCTTCAAACATAGCACCAAGTCATATCTCAATGGCTTCAAATATAACAAAAGTCATATTTTAACTTTGCTAAACAAAGCAACAAATCACATTTCAATGTCTTCAAACATAAAAACAAGTGATATGATAATGCTCTAAACGTAACAACAAGTCATCCATCAATACCTCCAAACATAACACTGAATCATATCCTAATGACTTTGAACATAGCAACAAGTCATATCACAATGCCTTCGAAAATAGCAACAAGTCATATCACAATGTCTTCAAACAAAACAACAAATCATGTTTCAATGCCTTCAAGCATAGCTTTAAACATAACAACACAAGTCATATCACAATGCCTTCAAACATAACAACAAGTCATATCCCAATGCTTTAAAACAAGTCATATCCCAATGCTTTAAAACATAACAAGTCATTTCTTCATCCCTTCATACATAACAACAAGTCATATCCTAATGCCTCCAAATATAGCAGGTCATATCATAATGCCTTCAAATATAGCAAGTCATACCCTAATGCCTTCAAATATAGCAAGTCATATCCTAATGCCTTCAAACATAACAACAAGTCATATCCTAATGCCTTCAAACTTAAAGACAAGCCATATCTCAATACCTTCAAACAAAACAACAAGTCATAGCTCAATGCCTTCAAACACAACAACAAGTCATACCCCGATGCTTTCAAAACATACAAGAAGTCATATCTCAAAACCTTAAAAACATTACAAGAAGTCATATCTAAAAGGCTTCAAGCATAACAAAAAGTCATATCAAAATGCCCTCAAAACATAAGAGCAAGTCATATCTCCAAACCCCAAACATTACAACAAGGCATATCTCAAGGGCTTCAAGCATAACAACAAGTCATATCTCAAAGCCTCAAACATTACAACAAGGCATATCGCAAAGGCTTCAAGCATAACAAAAAGTCATATCTCAAAATTCCAGATACTTTAACAAGGCATATCTCAAAGGCTTCAAGCATAACGACAAGTCATTTCTCAAAGGCTTCGTGCATAACGACAAGTCATATCTCAAAGCCTCAAACATTACAATAAGGCATATCTCAAAGGCTACAAACATTACAACAAGGTATATCTCTGACCACAAGGTATATCTCAAAGGCTACAAACATTACAACGAGGTATATCACAATAAGGCATATATCTCAAGGGCTACAAACATTACAACAAGGCATAACTCAAAGGCTACAAGCAACAAAAAGTCATTTCTCAAAGCCTCGAACATTACAATTAAACATATCTCAAAGGCTACAAACATTACAACAAGGTATATCTCAAAGTCTCAAACATTACTATCATATCTTTTCTTCAATAACAACAAGTCATATCTAAATGCCTTCAAACATACCCAGAAGTCATATCTTAATGCCTTCAGACATTACAACAAGTGAAATTGCAATGCCTTCGAACATAACAACAAGTCATATCTAAATGCCTTCAAACAAAGAAAGAAGAAATAACTACATATATATGACAAATTGCAATGCCTTCGAATATAACAACACGTCATATCTAAATGCCTTCAAACATACCAAGAAGTTATATCTAAATGCCTTCAGACATTACAACAAGTGAAATTGCAATGCCTTCGAACATAACAACAAGTCATATCTAAATGAATTCAAACATTACAACAAATCAAATTGCAATGCCTTCGAACGTAACACAAAGTCATATCTAAATCCCTTCAAACATTACAACAAGTCAAAGTGCAATGCTTTCTAACATAACAACAAGTCATATCTAAATCCCTTCAAACATTACAACAAGTCAAAGTGCAATGCTTTCTAACATAACAACAAGTCATATCTAAATACCTTCAAACAAAGCAAAAGGAAATAACTAAATGCCTTCAAACATTACAACAAGTCAAATTGCAATGCCTTCAAACATAACAAGACATATCTCAATGTATTTTGATATTACAATAAGTCAAATCACCATACTTTATATATTCTTTATAATATGTGACTGAAATGTCAAGTGATTTTGTATTGTGATAATGGTTCCTGAAATGTTTGACTTTGCTGATTGTTTGGGAATTTGTGATTTGTTTGGCAGTTACGTCCTTCTCCCCTTGACTACAAACTGTCCACGCCAAGGACTGAGCTAAGTGGTGATCCACGGAATGATCCATACTCGGATATTATGATGGAATATATAGGTACAAGTGCCAAAAAGAAAGAAGTATTTGATAAACAGATTGAGAAAGGGTTTGGGAGTGCAGTCAGTCGTAAGGAAGCAAGCCCTTCACATTCAGTGATCTTTTCCTATTCTTTTTCATTCACGTATGATTATCAAAATCTAAAGTCAAAAAACTATGGGACACTTCCTTCATTGAGCTATCTTTACCATTCGTAGATTTGCAAAACATGATCCCTTTGAGTACGCTCTATCCTTTTCCCAATCAACTTCACTTTCGAGTTCTCTTAAAAATACGTCCTTTTCTGGTGTCTTCGTGTTATGACTATGACGTTTCTTTACCTCAATTGAACGCCAGTACGACCATCTCTCTAACGTCTCCTCGATTTCTTTGGCTTTTGAAGCATCATTGCGAGCGATCCTAATGGGGCTAATCTGAGCATGCGAGTCCAGTGCTTGGAGGGAACGAACCCTCTCCATTGATTTTTACGTTGAATAACATTCTTTCAAAACCCATGCACTCCTATCATTGCCAGATGGTGTCCTCATTTGACCAAGCTACTTTCGCTTTATAAAAAACAGGATGAAATTAACAAGTCTATGACCTAACACACGTCGGAATTACCGCATCCATAGAGAATGTAATACCCTCCAAGCCTCAATGAAAGTGACATAACTGCTTAAAATGCAAATAGCTGCCAATCAAGTAGCCAGCCCGATCGGATCACATGTTGTCACTTAATCTTGCAATCAACTCATCCACAAGCTCACCGTGTGCAGCGTGTTCGAGTTTTTTGCTTTCAATAATTTGTTCAAGTCTAGAGTATAGTAGTTGCCAATTGCCAGCTGTTCATTTCAAAGTTGGTCTTGTTTTACAGAAATGGTAAGTTAGTATAACGGTTAGAGTACAATGTCAACCAAAGATCAAGTGGACACACCGTTGACGATTAAAATGAAAGAATTTGGTTTGAACAATCATTCTTTTTGTGTTTTCATTATTGTGCAAACTGCCAACGTATAGCTTACATCATTGACATGGTTTCTCAAATTGGCACAAATCAGGTTTTAGAAAAGAGCAGAATGTTTCCATTGATTATCGTTTTGAAAGAATGATATAGGTCTTGAGCATTAAAGGACCATTGTGTGGCTCAGTCGGACAGTGCTAAAAAACACACTTTGGGTTTGGGGTCCATTAGTGCAAAATTGAAACCTCACTGGTTCTCTCTGTTATTTTGAATTGACGATTTTTTTGCAATTAAAGTAATTATTTCTTCTAATTATACATCGTGAGCAATACAAACGCATAAAAATGACACATTCAAGTGTCGAATTAGAAGAAGTGCTTGCTAATTAGGGCACCTGACGTTATCGAATTTGAATTTGCGGCAAATGATTTTGTTCTTTTCCTGACTTGAAGATAATATCGTCTATTCACTAACAACCCCTCGATTTCCAAAAGTCTTTGAGAGATGAAAAGTTGATTTTTTAATCAGTTAAGTCGCAAGCGTCTCTGATTAACTAATTGTTACATCCGAATGGATGTGGTATTATGGAATAATTTCGTAAAGCTCTCTTGAACGACGGGAGTTAATACAAGCGTGTGGCAGTCTTTTCTCAGAAATCCGTAACCGACACGGTCATAATTGCGTCTTGCACCTGCGAAATACGCCATATAGCCCGTCTACTAAGGTTTATGACACCATCTTAGCTAATTGTAACAAAGAAGTAGCTTTTTAACATGATTATCATGTCTATATACGCCATTAGTTCGTTGCTAATGAGCCAGGAAAATAAGGGGTAGGGTGAAAGTGCGACTGGGACGCGTGCCGATTTCCACAGTCTCTTGTGTTCTCGCTTTTTACAGGAGGGACAATTCCATCGGTGTGTTGATAACTTAATGCCGCCTTATTTATCTCTTGTCATATGTAGCGATTCATCGAGCCAGGTGTCATGGGGCGAGATGAGAAAGGCAACACGCCTCTACGGAACGTTCTGGCTCTATAGGACCGAGGCTTTCAGAGCCATAGTCCCAGCTGCCTGGGATATGTAGGTAGGCTGTTCAATTGACCCCGGGCACCCCTTCCTACCTGCTATAGACTTTTTTCAATAGGTTCAATGCATATAAAGAGGCCAGGCGCGTGGCAGAGCGAGAAAAAAGCGGGCTGGATATATGAGTACCACGTCCCGTGTACTACAAACGCTGCGTAATGTGTTTTAAGCTATTCTCCGACTTGAAAACAACACATCTTGAATAGGAGACCCCTTTGTCTGCCTTGATTTTAATTCCATAAGTTTCTCGAGTCTATTGTCACAGTGACAGGCAAAAGAATGCGTAATTTAGACTCAGACGGTAACAAAATGATACAACATAAGAGCGAAAAGAACGACCGGGATTCATTCCAGGTTGAAAAAATGTCCCCAAATTCATCGAACGCGTGACCTAGATAACATTTTTCTTTCTCGAGAAAGTCCTAAAACACTTCTAAGACACTACATTCATCAAAAATGAAGTTTTAAAACTGAGTAAATCGCGCTGACAAACTTGCGCTAAACTTTTAAAAGTTTAACTTTTACCCGCGTCTTTTCTGCGCATGTACAATACAGGCCTATAAATATGAACAATACAGCTCTATTGTTAGCTCCTGAATGGGGGAGCTAGTATGAGACACGTGCACAGCTGCAGTTCACCCCGGTTTCTTATACTAAGCATAACTACATCTCCTACGTCGTCAGCATCTTACCTCTAATTTACTGAAGGAATTAACAAATATTATGATGATATTTATAATGGTAAAAGAATAGAAAAAACAGTATTGTATTTATGATTGTTTAATATGTGATTTCTTAATTATTTCTAATTACTCTGAGACTTTTCGAGCTGCGTTGTAGAATCCACCCATAGCGCGTCAATGCTCCATAAAATGTATATTTTGCATTCGACTTTCGCTTATTTTCATTTATTTCGGCGTTATTAAGTATGTTTTCCTTCAAAAGGTATATTTTAAGACTAATGTGTTTTCATTAATTTTGTTGATATTTATCACTAATTAGTTAAATAGATGTCTATTTCTTACGATTTCCACCTGCAAATGCGTCCCCTAAAAGTATCTCTGTCATCGTGAATGGGCTTGGCGTCTAATTCATTATTATATCACACCATCTTTGAGACTGTTTCCATATAAGATTCAGTGAGGTGAAGTTACTTCAAAAAAATAAAATATATTTCAGTCAGAATTAATCAAAACATGAATTGATCAAATGCTACAATTACCGATCTCGATTCAATTAGTCCTTTTGTGTAGTTATTTAATTTTGTATACAACACATTAACATGCACAGAACACCTGTGAGATTTCTATAGGGCGATTCTTTAAGCTGAATTGGCTCTGTAAGCAGAAAAATGCAAAAAACACTAAATGCTCGCTTAAAGTGCAATTAATCTAAATTTTTTATTCGTTTGACTATATTTTATTTTCACCGATCGTTCTTACACAATTTATGTAACTTTTGGTTTTCACCCATTGTAAAAAGTATCTTTCCCCAGGTCCTATAGCTATTGACAATCGTAATTATATCTGTGTATGTTGATCGCAGCATTATTAACACACTGGAAATAATTAACATTAGAATACTAATAAATTGCTATATATAAACATTTGCAGATTTTCGAGAAATTAACTGTTGCGTGTGTTAAATATTATATAATCGTTTCAAATTTTGGCTTCTTTACAACAAACACAAATGAAACGAACAAATTTAACAATAGAAAATCTATGGCTATTTCAATTTATTAAAATAGATTGGAACATTTTGCGTTATGCGTTGTAACAATTGCTGATTGTTTAAGAATCAATGAATTTACAAGAAAACAAAAATGATAAATTCCTTGGTGCTGCAATTGTAACACGGTGCTTGGAATATTAATTAAAGGGTACATTCAAATATCTAAAAATGTCCAAATAGAATAATTTCGACTTCATAATAGAATCATAATATCACCGTTTAGAAATATCTATAAAAACTGCAAAACACAGTTTGACATCTGAAGGATAAAATACATTGTTAGCGACAATACAGCACTCTCATTTACAAGATCATAAAGCATTTAAATGTATAAGAACGTATGAGTTTAAATATTGAAAAACTCAAAAACACGTGTTTTTGACATTTCGCCGTCATATAGTGACGGGTGAGGACGCGGTTTGAAGGGCTGGAGTGGACACGAAAGGCACTGCCTTATGGCCGCTTATAGTCCAATCTGATCTGGTGAAACTTTAATGATTAGCTGTCTAACAAAATCTGATTTTAGAATGCTGATAAAAAAATGACAAATACATCTTTAGCTTGTCTTTGAAAACAGTCTAGAACAGGAGTAACTTTAATCTTGTACATCAAATATATGTAACGACAAAACTGATTTCCGGCGCAAAGCCATCGGGGAAATTGCAAGCAATATCCGAACGATTAAAGAAGTATACAATTATGTTTCCTAAATACGTTTCCTACTACGAAGAAATATATCGTTCGTTTATTGAGAGTATACATATTCTATCTTATATCTTTTAAAATATCAGAACGAGACCGACAGATCACCTCGAGCAAAGGATGGACAATTCTAATCTGCAGACTGAAAATCTTACATCTGTATGGGGGTGGATCGCTGCAGCTAATCGGTTGGAAATACTATCATTTACGCCAAGCGTCAAACGAACGCGGATCCACCACTGAACATGATTAAATATTTTAATATATTTTATGCTTTTATAATTATTTAATAAAATCCAGTAAAGTATTGTATCCAATTAAAAGATGACCTCTTGGACTCGTGCACATTATGCTGTCATCAATGATCCAAATGAAAAACTCGCGTGGTTGTTTCAAAAAGTTAAACGTTTCATTGTTTTGACCACTCAGTTGACGCAAGTCTCCATCGTTGGGATTATAAATTATTAACAAACGATAAAAGTTTAACTAACTAACAAAGAGTCGTTCCCTTAGTATCGACGACTTTTAGGCCCGTGTGCCCAAGTTTGTAATCGAGCCAGGGAACTCATTCTGTTCTGCTTGCCTTATAATCAATGCCAGAAACATAAAATCCTCGATATGTGTGAAAATAACATAAACTTTAAAGGAGGGTCATAAAATCAGGTTTAATCATCTGCGTAATCCGGCAGGAAGTTAAATGAAGCGCTAATTGATTTGGCAAATCAGGCTTGGTGTAAGTGTTAATTGCGTCTATTAACTAAGGATCTATCGCTTGCAGATTATGGGGTATCATGAGAAAGACAGCGTGGATGGAAAAATGACCGTGCCACTTAGTCGATAAAAACAAATTGAGCTGAAAAACTAGTTAGCCTTTCATCTAATTGCTTGAGAAAGTGTCAAGAAATCGGGCAAGAAATATTATCAGCAGAAGTGGCAATATTCTCTCTCTCTCAGACGCTAAATGCTCTGTTATTGCCTGACTCATATCATGAAAACAACACTTTTAGTAAATTATGTGGGTACTGCATCAATTATTTTTATTTATAGTATTGCTATTAGGGTTTTGCCCATTCTGTTTTTCTATGAAGATCTTGTCCAACTCATAAAAACAGTCATTTACAGTATTTACTTTTGATGAGGGTACTACAATAGCACATGCAGCACGTGGTTATAGTGTTTGTATGTTATTGGGAGTTTGTTTGTTTCAATTGTGTTTTTTTCCTTTTGAACTACAATATTTATTTAGTTTTAATTTGATCATTTTCTACTGTAATAAATTTGGTTTATTATCGCCATCAAAATGAGATCCAGCAATCGACAAGCCAATAGAATAAATTCAATAAATATGCGTTTTAGATGTGTGAAATTAATTGTTTTACTAGATTAGGCGACAACTAATTTGAATAAACCTAATAACATAACCAAGATTAACCCAAGATTTCACATCACTAAGCTAATACGATAAAAAGTGACTTTTACTCATTTCGATTTTCATATTTCGTGGGAATTCGATAATCTGTCATCCATTAAGGCATATTGGATCATAGTAAGCCTAACCACCCGTGAAATATTTATTGGTCTCAGATGATCGCAAGATAGCTGATTCATAATCAAAGAACATTAGAAAATAATAATCTCCGACAGAAGGATTAATGGAACTGTTATTGTTTAAGATTGCCAATGTTACAATTTCAACTGATTTCTTGTGGTTTTGGCTCTTGCTAGCGAGTAATTTCTTTACGCTTTTTGATAGATTTAGAATTTCCGTTTACATATTAGTCACAGTTCCTCTACCACTGCACGAGGGCTCCACCACACCATGTAAAAACGCAGGTAGGCATCAGTTGGGAGATTTAAGTGTATATCTTATTTGCCTAGTTTTCGGTTGCATTTGTTGCCATGGCACTGGTGATCCGCTCGATTAAGCTGGTTACCGAAACGGTTCGTTTTGGTAACAAAATGTCGGAACGTCGAAGGTACGGTTTTTCTTTTTTCCTTATTTCACGCGTTGTAGGCAGAATCACCACGACGTTTTTTCTCACAAACGTGTATCAGCATCATATGTTTTAGAAAATGCACATGTTTACGAAAAAATAGCTCAGAATAGCTAATACACGTTTGTGTTAAAAATGTCGTGGGAATTCTGCCAACAACGTTTGAAATAAAGAAAAAAGAAAAATCGTACCTTCGATGTTCCGACATTTTGTTACCAAAACGAACCGTTTCGGTAACCAGCGTAATCGAGTGGATCACCAGTGCATGGTCAAACTATAGTTTCGTAAAATAATCAATAGGCTTAATTTACGCATTGACCTTCAAGACTGTGTCCCCCCCCTCCTTATCTTCTCCACCAACACAGGTGTGTAGTTGCGTGTGGGGGGGGGCTAACAAGGTTTTGTAACTAGACTATTGTTGTCCCTTCTTATTTTACACTTAATGTATTCTTCGCGATCGCACCTCCCACCCCCACCCCCATAACCAATAGAATAAAACCATGAAAAAGAAGAAGAAAAGAGCTTTAAATTGTTTTTATTTGAATCATTATTATTCTAGCTCAATTTTGAAGGAAGTTGCGAAATAAATTTTATTTTTTGACTTGTTTATTCCACAATCCTATCTTTCCTGACTGGAAACCGACATTTTTTGGCGATTGCACCCCCTGACTGAAAGCTGGCTACGCCCCTGAATTTATAAAGGGATTACAGATGCTAAAATTATAATTTTATTGAAATTAAGCAATACACGTTCGTACCTTGTATTTCTACCCTCTATATTGCACTTATTTCATGGTTATTGCCCATAATCTTATTGGAATAATAGCAATGTTCCATTTAAGTTAATGAGACAAAATTGGGAAACAATAACAATAGATGAGTGAAATAGAAAATTCAAGAATTTAAAATGAAAGAATCAAAAATAGCTGCAAGCTTATTTCGCTCATTGTTTTATTTCAATAAAATGCCGTAGTACAGTTGATGTTAAGCGACATCTTTAAATGATGCGCAAAACTTTTTCACAATTCGTGGCCAGCAAGAACTACTTTCCAAGTCCCAGTTGTTTCACAACTTCACCAAGTCTGTCCAGTTCTGAAAAGCATCGGTGATTATAACTTTAATTTGCTATGCTGGTAATACGTGAGATGATAAGCTCAAGAATAGTTGAGCTGTTCAAATACATTAGTTTTGTATTAAATATGGTTATTATTTATCGGTCACAACCATTAACCATGAACAATCTCGTAACGTTTTAATTGAACTTTGAGATTTGAGGAAATTTTCCTCTAATAAGGAAGTAACCAACCGACACATCGCTCGCCATCCGGGTATTTGACCTTGATGTAGAGATTACAGCAGGTCACTTGGCTCGTGACGCATGATCCGTTCACTGCTTCTTGCCAGTAGTGGGTAGCGTAAACAGTCCTGATACTAAAACATACACCAAAGGCTGTGTACTGGCAGTGATGGGATATGTAGTTTATACTAGGGTAATATACATATTCTAATCGTATGAACCAACCGGAGTTGTAGATATACATATCTCCCAATGGATAAACCCAATATCGAAAACCGACCGTACACAACATAAAGCTGATCCAAAAACTCAACACGCTGCGATTTTTGAATCTAAAATTCTGTTTAGCGATTTTCAAAAATTTCCAGCTTTTTATTTAAATTAAGAGTTTAATAGATTATGATATTCGCTTGGAACTTATGATTACCAAACGTATGGATGGAAAGGGTATATGCCCAAGATACTCGGAAAGAGAAATAATATGAACTCTGAGCCAATGCATTACCTGTACTTGTAAGTATACACACTGCATCTTTTCCATCCAAACTGGCCACACTTTGCGACATCTTTCACTTTCTCTGCTACATTCTGCTGTTGAGTAATTCTGCGACTCCTCGTCACGATGTTGATAGGGCGCGTGTTCATACAGCACCAGAACTTACTATTTGAAAAATTTATAGAAGAAAGCATTTTAAATCAAAGGAGTTGGGTAAACTAGCAACAGAGAGTGCCCCAATTGAAGTGTGAAAAAACTTTTTTTAAGAATAGGAGAAAAAAAACTCAGAAATGCATAGATTGAAGTCTATATTTTTGGGTAGTATTTTTAAAAAAATTTAGAAAAAATCGTTACGGTGTCTGGAGACCTTCAAAGAGGGTGGGGGCCAGAAGGAAAAAAATTCACATATTTTGCAACCCTCTTGATGAATTCCAATTTACTCAGCTATGAATGAATGTTTTTGATTTATCTGTCCAGGATTATGTAAATATATATTTATTTGATCCATACATACAATTGATTTAAACAATATGTACAGTTTAGAGGTAAGTAAAGCTTTGAAAGGACATTTCATGCTGAGTCTGGGTGACATTTTTATTCACTGGAGGTAGTAATCCTTTGAGTGTTTTCACATAGAGCATAACAAGTCTCCACTCTAATAAGTGCTTCTTTAGTTACATAAATGTTATATTGTTGCATACAAAGAATAATTTTGATGGAGACTTATTATGCTCGGTGTGAATTTTAGAACTTTATAGAAAATTTTGCCTGCCATTTTTGTTGATTATTCAAAATGGCCAAATGCTATTCATGCTGCATATGTAGGAAGCAGGGCATTATAAAATTTTAGATGCTAAAATACCTGAAACATCAAGTGGTTATATGTGCACAACATCTGAATCAGGTAGTTCAAGTGATGATGAGTAAAACTAATCAGAAAATGTTTCATTGTTATTTCATTAACAAGCCAATGATGAAATGTGTTGAGATTTTAGATGTTTTTCACCTTTTAGGTGATCTCCAAGAAGTGATTATCTCCGTTATCTGTACTTACTGTTTCCTAGACATTATCAGAATGATTGATAATAAACTTAATAGTTGCTTTAAAATTATGTTGAATAATATCATTATGTTGAATTATAATATATACAGTGTGTGTGTTTAGTGTGTGGTTTTTAGCATACCCTATGTCGCTAACAGGAAGCAGGACATATTTCTCATAAAAAATAAACATTACTTTACGAGTCAAATCATGAAATATACATTCTGAATTTAAATGAATTAAAAATAATAAAGTATTTTCATTATTTTAGGTACTTTTGTTCTCTTTCAGTGTTGCATGGGAAGGGCGGAATATATTAATATAAATATCTCATTATTGGCAAATTGCCAATTTACTATATATTGTAATTCCAACCTCTATGAGACTAAATTCCTACAGATATTTGTGATATTTTAACCAAAAAGGTATATTTTGGTAGAAAATAATGAATTTTTTTAATTTGACCTTGACCTGGGGAATATGACCTTGACCTAAATTTTCATACATTTTTGAAACACATATATCACATAGATTAATAAAATAAAGAGAAAACTTGAAAATCAGGTGGGGCTTAAAATAGCCTTGTTTACCCAACTCCTTTTTGTACATTTTATTAATTAAAATAATTGTGCTTATATCAAAACTCATTTTAATATACATTATCTGATTCTCAGGTAAAAGAAAAAGTTAGAAGTGAAGAAGCATATCAGACAAGGCATTAACATGCAAAATGTCACCACCTGCCATTTGTCACAGACGCCGAACACCAACCGTCCACAGATAAGTTGGAGATCAAAACAATATGACACCACATACTGAGGTTTAGATGGACCAAGCAGACAACCATATTCTACGTCAGAGCCTTACCCTTTTTGTTGACGTTTCACTATTCTCGCAGCCTCAGGATGAATCTCATCGTGGTAGAGTTGATCAAACTCTTCCAATTCACTTCTTGATATATCACTTCCTGGGGTAAGAAGTTTCCTTCTGGTAAGGGTTTTGTCCCCTGCGGCCAGTGCTATGTATATCCCCAATAGGAGGAAAGCTAGAGAGATCCTTACTGCCATGTTGCTTTAAGTAATTGTCGCAACGAAGAAACGGAAATATGGTGTGTTTGAGATAGTCTCTTATCATGCAGATGATATGAAGATAATGAAATTACACCCAACTTGATAGTGAACTCGGGTGTGTTCGTTCACTATGCCCAATTTGATAGTGTTCTAGGAATTAAGATGGTGTTGATTGTCTCAAATAGGGATTTGATGTGAGTTTTAAGAATTCAGATTAGATGCATTCCCTGTATGAGTACGTCCAACAAAATGCACCATCCATGTGTGTACGTACATTGACAGAAAGTGGTGTCTCTGTGTGTCTATCTGATCAAGTAAATTATCTGTATATATACGTTATCAAATAAAATGCAATTGTCTTTGTGAACTTGACATCAGATAAAATACAGTATATGTACGTGAAAGCTGTCCAAAATGACGAATCGTCTGTATGTACACGTTATCATACATATAAAATACTTCTTTACCATATAAATACGACATCATCTATATGTGAACGTAGTCTGATAAAATACATCCCCTGTATGTGTACCTTGTCAGATAAATATATCATCTATATGTGTACGTTGTCTGATAAGATAAATCATCTGTGTGAGTACGTTATATGTGTACGTTGTCCGATAAAATACATACGTCTGTATGTGTACGTTCTTTGTGTACGTTGTCCGATAAAATACATCGTCTGTGTGTGTACGTCCTATGTGTACGTTGTCCGATAAAATACATACGTCTGTATGTGTACGTTTTATATGTACGTTATCCGATAAAATACATACGTCTGTATGTGTACGTTATATGTGTACGTTGTCCGATAAAATACATCGTTTGTGTGTGTACGTTCCATGTGTACGTTGTCCGATAAAATACATAGTCTGTATGTGTACGTTCTATGTGTACGTCATCCGATAAAATACATACGTCTGTATGTGTACGTTATATATGTACTTTGTCCGATAAAATACATCCTCTGTGTTTGTATGTTCTATGTGTACGTTGTCCGATAAAATACATCGTCTGTATGTGTATGTTCTATGTGTACGTTGTCCGATAAAATACATCGTCTGTATGTGTACGTTCTGTGTGTACGTTGTCCAATAAAATATATCGTCTGTATGTATACGTTCTATGTGTACGTTGTCCGATAAAATACATCATGTGTATGTGTACGTTCTATGTCTACGTTGTCCGATAAAATACATATGTCTGTATGTGTACGTTATATGGGCACGTTGTCTGATAAAATACATCGTCTGTATGTTAACGTTATATGTGTACGTTATCCGATAAAATACATACGTCTGTATTGGTACGTTATATGGTGTACGTTGTCCGATAAAATACATCGTCTGTGTGTGTACGTTCTATGTGTACGTTGTCCGATAAAATACATCGTCTGTATGTGTACGTTGTCCGATAAAATACATCGTCTGTATGTATACGTTCTATGTGTACGTTGTCCGAAAAAATACATACGTCTGTATGTGTGCGTTATCCGATAAAATGCATCGTCTGTATGTGTACGTTGTGAGATAAAATACGTAGTCTGTATGTGTACGTTGTGAAATAAAATACATCGTCTGTATGTGTACGTTGTGAAATAAAATACGTAGTCTGTATGTGTACGTTGTGAAATAAAATACGTAGTCTGTATGTGTACGTTGTGAGATAAAATACATCGTCTGTGTGTGTACGTTGCTAAATAACAGATAAACTGCAGTCTTTGTTATTTGTATATACGTACTTTTTCCGATTATGTTACCCGTTGATTTTGGAAGTGTGGGACATGATTGCTATCTGTGACAAAAATGATGGATCGCTACATTTGATATCTTATCAGAATTTACTAAAAAAATATCTGTACTTGATGATATTTCCTTGGAAAACTGGTAGTAATTACAGAATTATTTATAATTCTGAAAATGATTTGGAATGATATATATGAGTTATGGGGACCGTATAAAGCAGAGTCATATTGAGACATCAAGGTTTATTTACAAAATCAAAAATCAAGTCGATAACTGAAAATATTTATTCCATAAATGAATGAATGTAAGGAAGAATCTAGAATCTTCCGAGGAGACCGCTCTTCTTCAATCTTTCCAACAAGTCAAGGTTCTTTAGAGCTTCATCCATATCTGAAACAATATGTATGACAGGCGGATGGAATTAATGAATTTCATGTATATACCTGATACAGAAATTAGTCAGATAGACAGATATCCCCATTGGTTACATTTGCTGAAAACTCAAAATAAGTAAACGATGGATTGTTGAAACTTGCTTGCATTAAACCGAAAATATCAACTTACCAACATTAAACATCAACTTTGTTTTCAAACTAACCATAACACTCTCGTTATTGTGAGTTGCCTTAGGCAAATAGTAGTTCAAAGTTTGAAGTATATAGGTAGATCTCTTAGACGATCCCCTATCAATGAAATCCAGAAAGGTGACATTGGTTATTAGGAATTTTGACAGAACTGAGAAGAGAAAAAGACGTCACTCCTGGTTCCACACTCTTTTCCCCATGATCTCATTGAAACAATTTCACAGGGACTAATTACCTTACTTTCTTCAGCATCTGGCGGGCCAAACTCAGTGACCATGGAATATGGTAAATCTAGACCAATGGCGCCAATGGCGAGTACCAGGATACGTGACATGATGGGCTTTTTCAACAAAATGGGCCTTGTGTGATGTAGTAGGCATGACATATTTATACGAAACGTTCCATCCCTCAGGGTACGGTGACATGAATCGCATACTGAGAGAACATATATATACGTTTGCTATTGATGGAAACTTAAAGCCGATGGATCTCTCGTCAAAGTATCCTGATACTGTCCACAGAGCTAGACTAAACTATTCAGTTTGTTTTGTACGTACGCATGCAATTGTCTTGGATGAGGATGTAATCTCTACAGCACACCAGGTTGCCGTTAGGACAAGGCCTCGCTTCCAGTACGGTCTCCGTTCGGTAGATTTGCCTTGAAGTCATCCTGATGCATATGAAATTATATTATTCAAGTTTAATTCTGATTTAGTCTATGTTATATGATTCATGTTAAACTAATCACAAAATAATTATGTGAATTCTATGGAAATAAAATTGTCTTATTCAAAGAGATCGCACTATCGGTAATGATTCATAAAAATATCTTTGATAGAATAAAAGGGACAAAGCAATATTTATCTATCATGCCAAATTCCAAAAAGTAACAAATTATTAAATATGACTATGTGTTACATAAAAAGAGATCAAGAAATTTCATTGTGTATGTGGTTCAGAAATAAAGAAAATTAAAATAGAAATCAATGGCATTGCCAGGAATGGAACCCTTAAAACTGTGGTTTGAAACAGATGTCTTATCCTCTCGTCCACCCCCGTCAAAATGGTGGCATTTGATGAGGGAGGAAATTTACCTTTACTTAAGGCGTTTGACAGTGTTTCTTGTTGTACGATAGATCGTTCTTTGGGATACTGGGGATTTTCTCCCTTATGACCAGTACAAGTACTCTACCTAATTGTCATATCCCTTCAGACGAGTATTTTCGACACGTTCCTCATTCGCCACAATCATGGCACAAAACCGCTTAAAACGAATCTTTCCATTTCTGATATGTTCAGCATAATGCCTTAGTCTACATTTTCGGACACGACAACGTCCGAGATTCCAGTGAATAACTGAGTTTGAATAACTGAATACCGGTATTCTTAGACTTGTTTCTATATCACTGCTACCCACCTAATTACACAGACGTATCGTCGGTGTATCATGGTGGAACTTCCTCCGGGACTAGGTTTCGGTAAGATTTTTTTATTTCCCGATATACACCTACTTATAAGTCACGTTGTGGATAATAATTTGGCTCGAAGTTAAGGAAGATAGTCTAGTTTGAGAATGTGTCGATGGTTTTAAGTTTTATATGTTAACAAAGACACAATTCACGTATTTAGTCCCTCGCTTTTCTTACACTGACGATCGGCATTAATATTGCCAATATTACACTGATATTGGTCGTTCGTCAGTGTAAGAAAAGCGAGGGACTAAATACGTGAATTGTGTCTTTGTTAACATATAAAACCTAAAACCATCGACACATCCTCAAACTAGACTATCTTCCTTAACTTCGAGCCAAATTATTATCCACAACGTGACTTATAAGTAGGTGTAAATCGGGAAATAAAAAAATCTTGCCGAAACCTAGTCCCGTAGGAAGTTCCGCCATGATACACCGACGATACGTCTGTGTAATTAGGTGGGTAGCAGTGTATATTCTATAGACAACATACATGTATATCCTAACACAAAAATACTCACACAGGTGGGTTACCTTTGAACTCATACACGGTCATCAATACTTTTATTTGCCTATGGCGGGCAGGGACCTGGCCTTTGTTGTTCAGGATGTTGCAGCACCAATGACTGTAAAACAAGCAAATAATAAAGAAATGCTAAAAAGCTTATCAAAGGAGAACTACTCGAGATAAAGGTATACGATCCCTTTTCACGTTTATGTTGTAAAGTGCACGAAGGAAGATGCTTCACATTTAGCGAGTAGTCATAAAATTATGTGATTTGATATTCACAGGTTGTATATCGGGACATAAAAGAAAGTGATGGAGGGGATAAAGCTGGCCAAATGTTACGTTTAAAGTGTTAACATGTGATACCTTTGCGCTGGAATGGCATATCCGACCAGCGACATTTTGAACATGAAAAATGTTGTAAGAACGAGAAGAGATTCGCAGAGTAAAGAAAAAAGAACGAGTATAGACCTGTTATCTCCCTGTCGTTTCTGGATGTGGTGTTCTGCTTCAGCGATCACCATGGCAACCAGAGAAGCCAGCAACAGAACAAACACAACCTTACCTGCCATTTGAAAATAGTTCTAGATTATGCATGGTAGGTCTACATCTAATAAATAGTTCAGGCTAAATGATCACTCTTACTCCTACATGTATACGTACACCTAATACGGATAATAGTGTTTAATGGTTTCTATACAATTTATTTTAATACCCTTTGCATTCATTCGACTTCACTTCTTAAAAGAGAGCTTCGTCTTCGGTAGTTTATAACTAGGCTCTGCGCGCAGGGTATTACATTCAGGTTGTAACTATCATTGACTGTGACATCAGCCTTTTTAGAAGAAGATACGAATTGACACCTTGTTGGTAGTTACATGTCCAAAATTAAAAGTCAATGATTTTTAAGATATTTGCCAAAAACTGATTTTAACATGTTACGGATTGTGGGGCTGGTGACTAAAAAATGTCCCGAGATACCACACGTTATGTACACGCATAAGAGTCATGCAATTCGTGATCACGAACATATCATGTCAATGATCATGCATGGCAATTGATGATTTTTTAAGACTTGAACTCTGGAAATAACTGCATTCAAAACGACCATGATCTACATAAGTATAGAGGTCCATGTGTCTAGAGTGGTCAAATGTCTTTTACCTCATTTGACTAGAAAACATATTTTAATGTGATTCCATTCCATTTCCAATGCTGTTATTAGTAAATAATATTTGTAAATGTCCATACATTTTTATTCTGATACTCAGACCATCTCTGTGCACGTTCTAGAAGGAAACTGAGAGAAGGTTGTGATATCTCACGATGATACATTTCCAGCGCGCTTGAAATACGAACAATATTAAAAGCAAGGCTACCTGTCATGCTGTAAGAGTCAGCGTTGTACACCGTGTCGCACTCCAAATGAATTGAACTTTGGAGAGATAAAATGTGCCTATCTGTCTAGAGATATATTTGATAATATAATTGATAATAAAAGTGTACGTAAATATGGATGAGTGCTGCAGGTTGTTGTAATTAGTGTTTTTTTATTTTTTCATTCAAACATGACATGTACATGTTTTCAAAATTCTTAAAAAGCTAAGCGAGTTCAGTGATTTAACAACTTACGGCATCGTAGGCCCCTCCCTTGCTGTAAACTCCCCGAATCGCCCTTTGATCTTTCGACACTGACTAGTTCAATTCTTGTAAAAGCGATGTAACTTCATGATTGAAAGATGGCAAGATTCTGATTCTGATTCATCAGCAGAGTCTCTCTTTATCTAAAAGCTCTATTCCAATGGCTAGACTGTAGATCCTACAGTCTATTGAATGAAAATTAGATCATACATTGATCTAGCTATACTTCCCTTTGATATAAAGATGGCACCTCAGATAATTCTGAATTTCCCATTCTCCAAGATGCATTGTATTGATTTTCGTCCTATCTCTGCGGATGGCTTAATCGCTCTGTTTCTGTGACTGTAACATTGCGTATTAATATTTAGTGCGGTAAAATCATTACGCCGCGATTAATTCTAATATCTCGTAATGCTTTTAATATATTTCACCAAATGATGGTATTTTTCACATTACTATTTGATATATTCCGGTTAATTGGCTAGCATCAGAAATCAGATCTGAGTACACGCTATGATAATTAATGCAGTAAGAACTAGATGCACTACAGGCTGCACTGGAGTTAACGCGCCTGATCCGATAAAACTAACAACATCAATCAAGTGTATAGGAAATACAACACAAGCATTGATTTTCTCTAGAAACACAAAGGATTTTACAGAACAACATTATTTATACAGAACTGAAGGCATATGAATCTTTTTGACTGCTGAAAGTATACAGTGACATTTGTACACATTAATATTTGCTCAATAATGTGTAATGGTACTATGTTTGTTAGATCCGCGAGACCTCAACTTGAATTAATTGAATCAGATCAACGTTGAGCTAGCAGCTCTAAACATAGTATCAGGGATGCCATATAAATGGAGAACTCAATACATGAATACGGATATAAGGAAGAGGATTGTCGACCAACATCATAACTGAAGTAGGCTTGATCATCAGATATATACAACTGGGAGGTAATTGCATGTTATAACTACAACTTACACTGTATGTTCACGTCGTTGCTTAATTATCACCCATCCTATATATGTTAAACTATGTATACTTATATGCAGGAGCGGATCGGGGATAAAACAGCGATTGGAGAATAGACAAGTCATTGTAAACGATGGAACTTGATTCATATATATCATTAATATCATCCTTGTCCTTCATCGTCTATGAAATTACTTATCTTGTGTCGAAAAGGTGTAAAAGGGTAGGAGGTCCTCTCAAATTATGGTCCTACTTTCCATTGATTTATATGGTGACCTAAATACAACTCTTTCCCTTATTATCGTATCCACAATCAGGGCCAGTAAGGGCCTTTCAGAAAAGGGACCATAATCCCCAGGGGACCATAATTTCTTTTACACCGTGAATGGTTACTTGGTCCCCTAGGGGCTCTATGTGTATTGCTAATCATTCCCCTTCCTCTGATCCTCCCCTGTTGATTTTGATTACGGAAAATGAAAGTAGAACTATAGTCTCTGTCACTATGACCCTTTAGCCTTTATACAACAGTCATTTGAGCCGTCAGCTGATTCAGTGCAGTTACAAGCAATGTGTATATAGACTCAGTTCTCAAGTTGTAAGCTTAATCAGAAGTGGTATAGTCACTGGTACTCACCTAGTTACGCTAACGTTACGTCAGCGTAACAAGATGGAAGAACTTCCGGGCTTCGGTCTCGGTAAGATATTTTTATTTCTCGATTCTACACCACTTATAAGTCAAGTTGTGGACAATATTTTGGCTCAAAGTTAATGAACATAGTTTAGTTTGAGAATATGCAGGCGGTTCTATGTTTGGTATATTAACGAAGGCGCAATTCACATATTTAGTCCCTCGCTTTTGTTACGTTGATATATTGTCACATTGGCAAAATCCATGAAGATCGATTGACGATTTTATTGACTGTGTTATTGGTTGCATTCACTTTGGGTCACCTTGTAATTTAAAGGTCATAACTACCCAAAAAGTCCGATAAATCGATTGTCCTAATTATTGCATTGTGACTTTACATATCATGTTAGAATTGTAAATCCAATGTTGATGATAAATGGTTTTACGAAAAAGACGACCCCACCGACCGGTCGTTTTTTCCACAAGTAGCCTCAAAACAGGGTTTGGGAAAATGTGTAAAAGACCGGTGTGAAAGAAATGATGGTCCCCCGGGGATTATGGTCCCCTTTCTTAACTGGCCCTGATTGCGTATAAGATAATGAGGGAAAGAGTTGTATTTAGGTCACCATATAAATCAATGGAGAGCAGGACCATAATTTGAGAGGACCTCCTACCCTTTTACACCTGCCATATCATGCGTAAAAGACCGACAATATTTATAGCCTTAAATACATTTTCAACACATGTCAATCGTAGGCAACGTTTTACACCAATTTTGTTCTTTTCTATCAAGTTAAAATGGTTGAATCGAAAGGGAACACAACATGTGCTTTATTTAAAGGTTCCTGACCTGCCGGTTGCCAACCTATCGTTTCTACGGGAAATTACCCCATTTTTTACTGAAATTCAACACAGGCTCATATTTAATGAAAATTACGTATTTCTAGTAAAATAATTATTATCATACTGGTGACTGAACACGATGTAATGTTACGTGTGTTCTCAGGATCAAAAGCGACTAAACATTTAAGCACACCATTGCTATTTTTCATATTTAAAGTAGTTTTTACCAGATAGACTTTTAAGAAATCAAACACTTCTGTAAAAAGATGACGACATGATTTCTAAGACGCACAATGTTAAGTGTGTTTTTTCTCATCATGATCTTAATAAGTGACTAACCAGAATATGAAATTGGTCTTATAACAACTTAGACATCATTTAAAAATATGACACTAGACAACGACGATGTTACGATTTTCATATGCATTTTTATACAACCATGTCTTCATTTTGAAATGTAATGCATATAGTAAAACTGAAAATTCCGATCTACTACGTTTCATGAAACAGTTGTGTACACGTAATGCATTAACAAACTTGTTCTAGTGATTTTTATTTATTATTTCAGTGACAGTTTTTCGAAACTAGACCATTTTCTTGGCAATAAATTCAACATTGGTACGTTGCCATCGTTTCCAAAACTATGTCACAATGACAATTGACATATAGTCTGACGCCTGAAGAGAATTCTGAACTCTGTCTATACCATCAACTGATATGGCTCCCGAGAAACAAAAGAAGGAAGACAACGTTAATACAGATACCACTTCAGAGGGCGACTCTAGTACTAGTGACACCCAGACCCCGGGGTATGACAACCTACCAATGCCATTAGATGGAGGCTATGGGTGGGTGATCGTATTTGCCTCGTTTGTGATACAAGCCCTGCAAGATGGTATCTGCAATTCATACGGTATATTCCTGGAGCATATAGTGGCCGAGTATGGTGGGGGACGAGGGAAAACGGCGCTAGCGGGTTCTTTGCTGGTCGGAGTATTTCTCATGATAGGTAAGAACGAAACAAATTACTCCAAATCCATTTACTGGTATTTGAGTTATCAACGATAACATTTTTAATGACAAATTGTGGCCATTTTGATTAACAGTGGCCATCTTGAAAAATGTTCCTCGAGCAGAGTTCCTTTATTCATTATATTAATGAATATATAAAGCTGTCATCATGAAAATTTCCTCTCAAGCAGAACTCATTTGTCCCTAGGAATCAGCATATAAAATGTGAACCAAATCCGTCCGATGGTATTTGAGCTATCAAAGATTATGTTCTTTAACAAAAATGGTGGCCATTATGAAATTTGGCAGCCATCTTTCTGGACACGATATCTGAAAACTTCGTTGTCCTGAGGCATCAGTCTATAAAATTTGAACCAAATCTCTCCACTGGTATTTGAGTTATCAAAGATTACATTCTATTAAGAAAAATAGCGGCCATTTTGAAATTTAAAAGCTGTCATCTTGGTTTCTGGTTAGCAGCAATGTAGTAATTCGCGGGGGCAAAAAAGGAGAGACCAGATTTTAAGTGAAATGAAAATTAAGGCCAATTGAAATAGTTGGAGTCGAACTATACCTGATTTCTGTTTCAGGACCTTTGGCAGGTATACTTGTGAATATATTTGGTTGCCGGCCAGTGGCTATGGCTGGTGGCCTCATAGGTGCATGCGCCTTTGCGCTCTCTACTCTTGCACCAGGGCTGGATGTTTTTATACTAATTTTTGGTGCAATAGGTGGTATGTATGCATCGATTTTATATTTATTTATATGATAGAATATATTTGAGAGTATAGTTCATCTGAAACCTGAGCTAAAGTAATTTATTCAAAGTCAGAGTACGCGAGGGGAATGAATGATAAGAGTAAGTTAGGCCTACATAAAATAGGTAGTTAGTATATTAACTTAGAGAACTATATCTTGAACTCCATGTGAACCATTGATTTCTATCTCTAAATCAATGTTTCTCTTCCGCCCAAATTTTTAAGCTGTTTTATTTTCATTTCAGGAATCGGTCTGGGATTTGCGATGATTCCAAGCTTTCTTTGCGTCAGTTTCTACTTCCAAAAGAAACGATCCTTGGCGACGGGAATCATGAGTGCAGGAGGAGGTTTCGGCATGGTCGTGCTGTCGTTTGTCTTTGCAGAATCTCTGAACACGCTCGGTTGGAAAAGCTCAATGTTTATAGCTGCTGGCCTATATGCTCAAGTTATAGTCCTGGGGGCCTTATTGAGACCCCTTGAGCTCAATAAGAATGCCGATACAGTTTCAAAATCAGACTCTAGTGCCGGGAGCTCCGTTCAAAATGCGAACGACACAACACCCATGATCAGATCCGAGAGTCAAAACCATGGCGATGTACACCTTGAAAATACCATTTTTCCAAACAAATCATTATTTAGAACGCTCATGGAGAGGAAGGAGGGTGATTTCCTCAGCCCTATTCCAGATGAATCTCCCAAGTCAGATAAAGATACCCTCCAAAAAGATAGCGATATAGTAAAATTAACACAGTCTCTTCCAGATGTCTCTGTACGAAACTCGAAAAAGCAAAAATGGACAAATTCGCAATGTGATCAAGACATAGGCCACCATAAAGAAAAGTTTCAAACAACAAAAAGTTCGAAGAGTCACTTTGATGGCCTGAACCATCCCTTTGTCCGAAAGAAAGAGGCCAGTCGTGCAAGAAATGAGAACATTCGACATATTGACAGGTCATTGACGCATCACCGAGCACAGAAACACCACATTACACCTTTATCAAGGAAAGATATATTTTATAGTGGTAGCGTTATGTCCCTTAAACAGTACAAAGCCCAACCGAACGAACTTGCCTATATCAAAAGCGTGACCACTCTGGTCTCAGAAGATGAGCCATATGATGACTTAAATGAACAAACTATGAAATGTATTCCTGGTGTGTTTAAACAAACTTGTTCACAAGTGTTTGACTTGTCCATTTTGAAAAATCTCCCATTTTTGCTGATCCTGTTGGCCAGCGTTATGATCCAACTTGGATATTTTATACCTATATACTACATAGTGGCGGTGTCAAGCAAGATAGGAGTGGAGAAGACTCAAACTGCTCTACTAGTCTCGCTAATTGGTAAGAGTAACGTGTTCTTATTTTAATTACGGCAACACGTGCAGGTAAATGAAAAATAAAGCAAAAAGCATTGAATAGAAGTCATATAAGTAAGACAAGAATGTTCCAAAGAATTCTCCAAATGTGTTGATTTTTGAGTACCCTTTGCATTCGTTTGACTTCACTTCTTAAAAGAGAGCTTCGTCTTCTTCTTGTAGTTTAACTAGACTCTGCACGCAGGGTAATTTTTGAGACGTTTGATAAACGACAATTGAATCAGCGAAAAGTTGCATATGCAATAAAGTGCAAATGGCGCTTATCAATGACATCTAAACTACAATATTGCACATGCAGCTATAATCGCAAAATATATCGATATTTATTGGTCATGGTTGTGACGATGTATGTGTACCAGATGGGCATTACAGAAATACAAACTTCGTGAATTTCATAATAAAACGCGTTTATTGCGGGGCTGAATAAACTCCAACGATAAGCCATGATGTAATTGCTACATGTAGTTTGCATTTGGTTGTCAGAATTAATTTGAGAAAAATGAAATATAATTTAATATGGTATTTTCAGGTATTTCAAATACAGTCGGTCGGGCGGGTGCCGGCTGGTTGGCAAATCTTCGACATGTGCGCCCACTCCATGTGAATAACATCTCCCTCATCTTGGTAGGTGCCATCACGATCTTTGTGCCATTCATCAACTCTTACGGACTCCTGGTGGCATATGCTGTTGCTTTTGGCTTACTTATAGGTAGATGTTTTCATTATTACTTTTTATCACTAACATAGTGTACCATATTTACAAAAAATGGCCCCCACCTAGTTATAAAGACGTAGCATCTTTATAACAAAATGGATGAACTTCCGTATGAGAAAATTGTTATTTTCATAATTTTTTCACAAAGAATGAGGTCGATTTGTTTGGGGATATTTTACCCGCTATATTGCTTAAAAGCTGGCCAGTCACGAGCAAATATATCCAGCAGCTCCAATAGTCGAATAAGAAGTTCTCACTTCAGCAGCCAAGACGTTATCTGGCGAATTTCATAACGTCTTGGTTACGTTTTGTTATAAAGACGTAACGTCAGAGGGGAACCAGTGTTATTTGGACGTTGATTGGAAAAGCAATCCATCAAGTCAACAGGTACAGTCCTCACCCATGTTAAGGATACAGTATATACAACGCTGCACTTATACCTACATGTAACTCTACATCAGTATCCATAAGAACGTCCACAGTATTTCCTGTTAAAGTTCCCGATCATATGTGAACTTCTTTAAAAATGATCTCCGTCTGACTTAATATTTGAGACGTTTCGAAATAGAACTTAATAGAAAATGTAATATTTCTTTACGATTTTTCTGCACAATCCAAAACCAAATTGTCCATGTGGGTTCCGGATCCAAAAGTACACTATTTAGGCCTCCTTGATGGATGATAGATAAACATTTCTCCAAGTTTCTCCCAACAAGCTGACCTTGACCCCGATCCTGTCTCCAGTTAATGTAAATTTAACTGGTCATGTAAGACTCCAGATTGAATTGACCTAAATCCTGACCTCGACCTTTAATCTTAAACAGTTTGACTATACTTTATCTTCATCTTTGATCGTTTGGTTAGTTGGTGATCAGTTTTTTGGTTGATTGTCTTGGTGGGTTGGTTTCTTGCTTGGTTGGTTGCTTCCTTACTTTGATGGTCATTTTTCTGGTTGGTTGGTTGGTTGCTTTATTGCTTGCTTGTTTGGTTACGCGCTTGCTTCGATTCAAGTTTTCAATTCAAGTTGGTACCATTGATGACTTTTCGAAATTTCAAAACGTCATAGAATCAAAACAATTCTGATATAATACCTCAAACGTTGAGTTCTTGTTGACCTACTTTCATGACTTTCTGGACACAATATCTGAAAATAGGTAAAAGTAATTAAAAAACGAATGGCTTATTTTCAAACCTTCTGTTTCTTGGCTAAAGGATAAAAAATACCAAAGAGAAATGTAGAATTAGGACAAAGATATAAATCGGCAAAATGTTGATTTGACCTAGATTTTGACCTTTGACCTAGATAAAAAAATTAACCTAATTTCCCATCAACCTGGGTTCATTTGTACGTTAACCATGCAAGCAATATGTTCAAAATCCGCCCTTACGGCAAACTGATCGCAATATAGCACCTAAGGTGTATATGTACAAAAACCTACGAAGCTAAAAATATTAAAATGTTCTTCATGGGTATAGTTTTAATTGCAGGCGCTTTTGTTCCAATCTCCGTGATATTCTTGGTCGAGTACCTAGGCTTAGAGAAGCTGACCAGTGCATTCAGCGTACTGTCTCTCATTAGAGGTGCATCCAGCATGGCAGGTCCACCAACAGCAGGTACGTGCGTGAAAGCGGTGTTATTGTTAGACCATCATACATGTAGTTAGGTGTTTCGTGTGATTGATTAAATTCGTCGGAGACTCAGACTAATGCACTGGCAGAACAGAATTATGCCAACATTTCGAAAAGCTCATTGTTCTCGCATCACAGTTGAGGAAGATTGAAAGCCGTTATTCAAACTCGGTACTCCGTTGCCCGACGTAGACCAATTTCGTAACAATATTACTCATATTTTTGGAGACTAGAACTGCGCATGCTGAGGAAGCTTGAATACTACAATAATATTTGTAATGACCATCTTCAAACGAAATACTTTGTCCAAAGAGAACCATAGAAATATTTTTACTAAACTGTTTCACTGCAGGCAACAGAGTATCGAGTTTGAATAATTGCTGCCAATCCTCCTTTCCCCACATAACAGTCATATTCTAAAAAACATATTATTTGTATTTCCAGGGGCAATATATGATGCAACCGGAAGTTATGAGGTGTCGTTCTACCTGGCAGGGGGGCTTTTCATCTCTGCTGGATTACTCCACTATCTTCTCCCAGCAGCCGACAGGATTACCAATAGCAACATGTCCACATCTGTAAAAGAACTGAACCTTGAAAATGGATTACCTATTATTGAAGAAGACAAAACCCCATTGAATTAAAGACACAATGACATACAGTTTTGAACAAGGAACAGCCAAGTCTGACTGACTGACAAATTACTGACATATTGCATGTGATGGGGATGCTGATGATAACCACAGAAGACATTTTGAAAAGTCTGGTAGTTAATTAATATTATATATTGCCCATGGTCATTTGACGTCTGTAATGGTGGTTACTTGGAACAAAATGCACCAGAAATGTACCAGATGTACGGCATGATGTATTCGGTGATAGATTTTAACAACCCAATACTGAACGTAACATTGCTTGGATGTAACTTTGTATCTGCTGCAGTAGACTTAAAATATTTACCACAAATGTATTTACAATGCAGTTTGCCTTTTAATCATCTCATGTACATGTACAGTCTATTATGGGTAATTGTCATATACAGTAACATGGGGGTTATCAACAGAAACTTCGTCATTACGAATTCGTTTATCAATTGTTGTAACCATGGATACAATGATGTCACAGTTAGAGAACAATGGACTTTACAAATTCTTAACTTTATATGAAGTTTCTGTTAATGACCCCCTGGTCATCTATTTATTCTCTATGGGGCTATATATCAATTGCTTATCATGACTTTGAATATGCATATCAGGTATTGCGTATTGTTGTATTTTATGTCTTCCATATATAAAAAGAGGGTCATACAATTTATTATGTACAGTATTACAGTACTGGTGGCATTGATGTATTAATAAATTGGGCATGAGTATATGACTAATGCATGAGGCATTAATAAAAGCTTTTTTACAATATAGAATAATAGTGTACAGTATTTCTTCATTACAATTAAAACACGTACCAGACACGAGCCCGTAGCTCGTGCGAGCCCCCCCCCCCCCCAGATATCTCCTAAAAAAATTGACCTACCTTTTTGCTTTCTTGTTGGATTTTCTTATTAAACGACAAGCAAAAAACACTAGGAGTACAACATTACTGTAAATGATCTACAAGTAATACCAAACATGCCAAAGTCACTGTAACGTCTCTTGATCATTGCCCCATAGTGTACATTGGAAAATAGTCTAACGTTACCCTTAACCATGCTCCAGAATTTAATCACAACATTACTAATATCAAAGCTTAAATTACATTTAGCTTTCTCATACTCCTGCTGTATACTGTTCTCCCGGTATTTTTCGCGTACGATTTAGTTTTGCGCTTTTCGCGATTGTGGCTTTGTGAAAATTAATCTTTGCGAAATTGTCAATTAAATCCCCGGGGATTTGTGAAATTTCTTGTTTCCTGGGACTCCATTGCATTTCATGTTTTGTAGAATGTTTGTCAAGTGTTTTTAGGCGATAAATGGGCTAATAAGTAACAATGTCTGTTACAATGGCTTATTAAATCAAATAAACCAAAAAATACGATGTAATAGAGTCGCGAAATCATGTTTTCTCAAGCATGGCGTAGAATAATGGAAATAACGTCACAACGCATGCGCGTAAATAGACATTTCATGGTCCAAAGATTTCAATGGAGAGCAGTCTTCATCAAAATTTAAAATCTTAATAACTTTTTAGCAAATAATTTATTTTCTTAGGATTCAACGGATCCATGTTAGACCCAACGAAGTGTTCATTTTGATATATAAAACAGCAAAATCCATCCACAGATCTTTCGGCCTTTTAATGATTTAATTTTCGGGATATTTTGCTAAAACCCCCCATTGGCCGCCATTATAAACTTTGAAAAACCCCAAATCCTCATCATTTCATATCATTCGTTAAGTGATCTAAACAACTCCAATCGCTTAGGATTCAACGGATTCTAAGAGATCAAAGCTAATACAATTTGTTGACAACCCCCGTTTCAATATTTGCCGCATAATCTTTCGGCCTTTTAGGTTATAAATTTGTCAATATTTTTATTTTCGACCATTACTGACGTACTTGGATCCGAGATTCATTGTCCCGGGATTCATGACGCTATTTCCATTATTCTACGCCATGATTTGCGAAATTATAACTCGCGAAATAAACTAGGAGTACAGTATATTTTAACTTTTCCAAAAGAGCGGATTCTGTTGTAACCGTCTCTGAAAGTTCTCATACCATCTTTGCAAAGTGGAAAGTGGTACAAATGTTTCTGTTGGCATTGGGGTCATCTGCGACTGAGTCTGAGTAAATGATGCCACATAATTAAACAAATTCTCACACATTTTAGTGGAGAATTCAACAAAAGTGTTTGTATCGCTTATTGCAGCACTTTGGTCGGGAGTCTGCTGGGCTAACTGGTCTAAAGGCTCTACAGAGACACCTATCTGGGCAACGTGCGACGCTTGCTGCTGGAAAGACATCCCAAAGGGCTGAGCAGATCCACCATCTGAAAATATCATAAGACTTTGTTACTAAAACTGACGAAGTTGTTTTACAAATGGGCACCTCCAATACATGTAAACAAATAAATTAGGAACATACTGTTTACAGCTTAAATCTCAAAAGTGTTTCTTTGGTAAATATCCGGCTCCTATTCCAATACTGTCTGTAATGTTGTATGAACATTTTATACTGGTAATTGTCAAAGCATGGACTTTCAAGAGAAACCCCATGATCTAAACTTTACAATTCTGGACAATCATACCTGGTTTGAGTTTTGTTATTTTAAAGATGGCACTAGGCTTCTGGTTTGTAATGTGTCCTAGTAGCTGCCATGATGACCCATCACTGCCTGGCCATGAGAAATGTACTGAAAGTATCATAAATTAAGATGTATATAGTTAAATATATCTCCTGCCAAAATAAACCATTTCAGTGGATATGTGACTGAATGTCACTAACGCCAATATGCTTTTGAGTTTAATACATATTCCTTCCCAATGTAGGACTGTAGGACATACATTCACTGATGGGTATGCAGAGTCAAAATTATCACGATGATCAATGAAAAATAGTATTTTTTATTAAAATAATTTATTGAAAGGGATTTATTGACCCGGTTTCATGACATTTTCAAGGTGGTCTTAAACAGTTTAAACAGTCAGGTGTTGGAAAGAATCGAAGAATTTTGAGAATAAAGGCATTTGATAGGGAGAATATCTGAATAATAAGTACATATATGCATGAATGTATAAAAGTAATAATTGAGCTACATTGCAAGAAACACATTATTTCACATATGATGATCATTTAACCTAAAAGCAAAATCCAGGTGAAAATGCTGGAGGAAATACAATAACTTCAAAACTGGTTCTTAAAGAGAGAATCAGAGATAGCGAGCAGGCTAAACAAAAAATTGTTCCAATTTTAGAATATTTTTGGCTCATGTCATTCCTTGTCACGTCTATTTTCTAAAAATCACAAAAGTGCATACTTTATTCAAGGAAAACAATAGATTTTTACAATAATGTATTGTTTTTCTATAAGAATGGTTACCATTCTTATTATTTGGGAGAATTTAAACATTTTTCACCCATTTTTGTACTTTGAATCTTTAATAACTTCACCAATTTATAACATATTGTGAATCTTTTGGGAGATATTGTATTTGATATTGTAAGGAATGGATTGGTAGGTCAATTATGCACGTTGCTTGTAATTTTGTCACCCCCTATAGATCTGATTCTGCCTTTAAGGAAACATTTAAGTTCAAAGATTAAAATGAGGGAAAATGTAGGACTACTAAAAATGCTTTTTGGTGTTAAGCTTTTTCATGAAAATGAAATGTAATACTAAAAGATGTGATAAGACCCCTTTTCAATAAAAAGATCAATTATACATAATTACCAACCTACATATCCATTATGCAGTGCATAATATGGTAAAATCAAACATACCTGCTCCTCCCATATTCTCAGGGAATGGGGTTGCTCCTGTCATAAACACAACAACATGATTAATGTTGTCTGCCTCTGGTATATTAAACACAAATCTTGTATCACCAATTGGTAGACAATCTGTTTGTACCTGCAATGGTACATACTTTATTAAATACCTGTGAAATTCATTGTTATGCATTTTAGAATGTAAAAGAAATATAGACCAGGTGTTACATCGACGAATACAGACCGCAGGGCTTAAGGCACAAATGTTTTCTGTACCCTGAACGATTGAAGGGAGTGAGGGGTTCAAACTGTCAACGGCTTTTGTACCTAGCCCTAATTACCAGGGGTATTGTTTGCAATTATAACCCGGGTGAAATATTGACTTCAAAGTTTCTAGTAGAAGGCGTGAATCAAGTCATGTTCGAATACAATTTACAACCCTCAGGGGTCAACAAAGCATAATGGAAAAACTAGATATGTAGCTGCATTCATGTTAGATAGATTATGCACATGTTGTGTTTAGATAAATCTCTGAGTGTGCTATAAATTTCGGGTTGATAAGTAACATTAAAAAAATTTGTAAAGCTAGGAAATGGGTCAAAAGTGAATTTAACGAGACAAAAATGGCAGCCATTTTGAAAATAGGCGAGCTTTTGAACCAGGAGTCATAGGGGAGTTTTCAGTATTGATGTTAAACAGAAATAACTTAAAACAGGAATCCTATCGACAGAGGTTTTAGAACGTGCCACTATTGTTGACGGACGGACGAACGCACGCATGCACGGACGGTCGGACAGACAGACAAGTGAGTGATTGCAAAAGCTCACCATGTGAGCTAAAAAAGCACATAACATTACATAAACAGGTACATGTATACTTTTCAGAGATAATGAGAAGTTCTCCATAATACTTACAGGTAAGAATGTCCTTATTACATGTAAAGATATTACCAAAATAGCTACAGTCCTCACCATAAATATATGACACCTGGATTTGCTGAAGTGAGGATTTCTTATGTTTAAAAGATAAGAATTTTCAAGAGGCTATACATCAGTGGATGAGAGTATCCCGGGAGAGTATACAGACATTATTTGAAAGCATGAAGTCTCCAATCACCATGGTCTGGAAATCTATCTACATTTACATCAATAATCCGCAAAAGGCTAATAAGCCCATTTAAAGCAGATATATAGTTTAACAGTGATATAATTTGGATAGAATACAATTTGAACCTTAACATTTAAAAAATAGATCTATGGTTTACAACTCATTTTCAAATGCTATAGTACATGTAGTAACTGTAATATTAACCATTCAGCTGGCAGAAGTTAAATATTTATATGTTTTAATTTAGAAATGTACAAGGTATATTCTGACCAAATTTCAGGATGTTTGGACCAATATTTACAAAATGCCAGATACTTTTACCTTATTTATTGATCACCCTGTACACCGAAATCATGCAACACTTCTCCACTAATATAAGGAGGCATCTTCCCCAAGGTCGATGGTTCCGTTCGTAGAAAAGTAGGCCATATTCAAAAATTATTTGTATTGAACAAAAACAAATTTCAAGAATGAACCATAGACCTATTGCTAAAATACAACTGAGCTTAATTGTTAAGCTGCTTGCTGACAGAAGATTTAAAACGGGATAGGCTATCACTGTCTAAAATACCACTGGGTAGAGTGTTCCATTTTACTATTGTCCTTGGAAAGTAACTAAACTTGTATGCATCCGTTCAGGCAGCTGGTTGGATGAATTTGGATGGATGGAACTGTCTAGTGTTTGTGTTTATTTGAGGGCTGAAGTATGTGGGTATAGTGATGGCTGCTAAGTTTTGAGTTCCTTTGTAGAAGGTAGTGATTCCCACTGCAGGTGTTGGAGAGCTTGGGTGACACAGCCTGGTTCCCTAGAGTGACATTTGGTAACAAATCTGGCTGCTCTCCTTTGTACCTGTTCCAGCATGTTGATATCCTTCTGGCGGTAAGGATCCCATGCTGCACTAGCATATTCTAGGTTAAGCCGTACTAGTGACTTGTATGCCTGGGCTTTAATGTTCTCTGGGCACTGGTGGAGGTTGCGCCGGAGGAAGCCTAGTACCTTGTTAGATTTTGATACTACTGTTTGTATGTGTGTGATCCAGTTTAGGTTGTTTGTGATTTCGATCCCTCGATATGGAATGTGGGTCACAGATTTTAGTTCTACTCCTAACATAGTGTACTTGTGTGTGATGGGTGATTTACGTCTGTGAATACTCAGTACATAGCATTTTGAGGGATGGAATTTCATTTGCCATGTATTTGCCCAGGAGACCAGTTTGTCAAGGTCATCCTGGAGTGTCAGTACATCGGTTCTCGACAGACATGAAGAGGAGGCTGTCATCTGCAAATAGTTTGAGGCTGGTTGTTGTTGATAAGTCGCTGCCTATATCATTGATATAGACAAGGAAGCAGAGCGGTCCGAGCACAGTTTTCTTGAGGGACACCCAATTTCACTGGTGTTCTTGTATGTCTATATCAATAATCTGCAGAAGGCTAATAAGCCCATATAAAGCAGATATATAATTTAACAGTGATAGAATTTGAATAGAATATAATTTAAAACCTTAACATTTAAAAATAGATCTATGGTTTGCAACTCATTCAAATGGAAAGGAACTTTCCTTATGTTGAAATACCCTGGGGTGACTGTCAGGCTACCGCGTTGACATCACCCCTCTTTACCAGTAGTTGTACTAGTTGTACTAGATTCTCCATCCTGTACTACCTGTTGGGACCTTCCAACGAGCCAAGATCTGAGCCTGCTCAAGTTGTTTCCGCGAATTCCGTAGTGATTAACCTTAAGGAGCAGGCGCTCGTGTGCGACTCTGGTGATATAAAATCCAGGTGTCATTTATTAATGGTGAGCACTTTTTTAGATGGAGACCTTCCCACTAGCCGTGATACTATTATACATGTACAGCAGGTTGTTAGGAACCTGTGATATCTCACGATGATAAGATTTCCATTTCATAGAACCATCTGAATGTAGGTACAAGGTTGTTTACCCAGAAGAAAACAATGAGACTGAGTCTGAAGTCAGATAGAAAACAAAGAACTTACTAGTCTCCCAGCGACGATTACCCCAAACATATTCGCCATTATTTATACAACGCACTTTACAGGATATTTTGCACAAATGAAATATACTTTATCTAATCAATGAACCACTTTACGGGCACATAACTGCATTCAGATTTAGAAGTTAGAAAAATTCCTGAATCTCTACCGGATTACGTAGTCTACTAAACGAAAAGCGTGAAAAGTGTAAGGTAGTTGATTCCCCGGGTAGTCCAAGGATGTTTCATTTTTGCACGGACCTCTGCCAGATTACCTCTTCTTGGTGTCTAGGCTCAATAAATATACTCAAGGACATTCTTTGAGCCTACTACCAATAGGGGCTGGATCTGGCTCCGGATCTGTGCATTTTTGTGTCTTCCCCATTCTCAAAAGAGAGTTCATAGCGATATTTTTCACAACTTACGTAACCGTGAACCCAAAGCCAATGAATCAATACAGTAATATTGGACGCACATAAGCATGCTACCAAGGACTTCTCTAATGAGCAAATTACTTTCACACATGAAATACAAAAAATACAGCCTGTGGTACAATTTCATTGCAAAGTAATTGCAAAGTATTGACATTGATATAAATAATGTTTTTTTTTGTTTTTTTTTAAGGTTATTTTATTTCCATATTTAAGACATATATAAACATACAATAATACAATAATACATGAATATGGAGAAACAAGCCTACGTTTGCACATTATTGGCTTGTGAAAATACATTTTATACAGCGGATATTTACACATACAATAGTAGTGTCATAATTTACATAAATGCAGTGTTCAGATGGGATGAAGATGAGTGATGATGATATGAAATTTGGCAAGGTACAGTAGCTATGGCACTTCACAATATTTTATTAATAAAATCTGATGATAGATTTATAAGTGTGGAGTTAAGCTTTTGTTAAACTTCCTCGATTCATCCGTCAAATGAGAACACATGTAAAATTCAAAAATAATGTACATTTTGAAGAATATCTCACTACTGAAAATAACTGAAAAAAGATTCATTAAAGATTGAAGCAGGAAGATACAAAACTAAAAATGTAAATGAACGCAAATGTAAAAAATGTTCAGAAAATTGTGTTGAAGATGCACTTTGTTATGAGATGCAAAATCTACGACAAGTAAGCGCACTATATTATTAGATAAAATTCAAACGGATTTGAAAACTCCCACCCGTGATCGATGTTCATTTACTGTTCTGTTGAAGATGAGCTGCACTTTGTTATGCCGCGAGATGCAAAATCTACGAAAGTAAGCGCACTATATTATTAGATAAAATTCAAACGTTATAAGGACTTTTCTAACATGACTAAGGAAAACAAGATTATTATGTCATACAAATCAAATATGGAGGAAGTCCTGCATTTCATAACATCGCAACCATTACAACACAACATATTTGTAAATTAATGTAACTGTACAAATGTACCTGTATAAATGTACCTGTATAATTGTAGTTTGGCCATACCCTGATAACACAGTGGCCGTGCCTTAATAAATTCTAAATCTATATTAGCGCGCATACAAAACAAGCGCAACTTAGTCTTGTTTAAATACCCGATCAGCTTCAGAGCTGTGTTTAGAACGGGAGATTTGCAATTTCGCGTTGGTGTCAACGTAAATCATTATTTTTATCATGTCTATTAGGCCTACATACGAAACGAGCTTGTTTAAAATATGTATCATAGAACACGAGCTATATAACTAGTACTATCAATGGCATATTACACGATGCTGCATAGTTTATACCCCGGGGTCTATACTATGTAACGGACTAAGTTAACACTGTAACTGAACGATTATTTGTGAGAGAAAACGACATGCATTTGGAAAGGGCAACTTGTGCGTACAGGTTGACCTTTGCATTCCAATGCATTGCTTAAAGTTAAGTATCCTCAAATCAACTCGTTTTAAAACCATAATACACATTGTATTTACTTTGTAAGAATCACTAGCTACAGGTAACACAACCCAAATAGCATCCTTTACATTTGAATCTATATGGAAACTTGATATAAAACATTTACACTGTTCAGAGCTGTCAAGTGTCCCGCGAATGGCGGGATTATCCCGCGAATTTGATCAAAATTAGGCTAATTCGCGTGTCCCGCAATGTCCCGCGAATTCCCGCAAATGACGGCTTTGACCTCCGCGAATTTCCGAAATTGTTGCAATCCCCTATATTGTGATTATCTTATCTTATATAAGAAGCTAAATTTTTGCACTTTTGAGGAGTAAAGTTTACCTAATTTTAAGTACCTAACATGCTGTTGTTTGGTATCAAAATAAAGAGGAAGGGTTCAACTTTCATTTTGATTACGAAAATAGGGATGTACAATGTACATGTAGGTCACAAATAGTTACAACGTTGGCCTTTTTACTACCCGTGTGGCCTTCATCTCAGAAGTGAGCAAATGTTAGCAAACGCGAGTTACAATAAATGGACGCTGATATCTAGAAAGGGTTTGTAGAAAAATCAGGGTACCGGGTAGTAAATCCTCCATGCTGGGTTTAAACTTGGTACTCGGTACCCTGGCTACACCTATATGACATTGTAAGACATAACAATTTACAATTCAGTGGACATTTTTTGAAAATTGGGATAACTTAAATTATGATTGATAATCAAAATCTTACAAGTTGCATCATGTAAATTAATACACGTCACCTCTCTGCTAAAGCAACGATAGCTATTTACAGATTTAAATCATAATCAAAACAATTCACGTACCAACATACGAACTATTGAAAATAGAGTAAGATTGATTTGTCTTGTTTTTCAAATCGTCTTACAATGTCATTGGCGTACTAGCCAGGAGGGGGTGCGATCGCATCCCCCCCCCCTTCATTACCAATGGAAATATGACCATGATGATAGAGGAAGAAAGAGCCTTAAAATGCTTTTATTTGAAGCTTCTAGCTCAATTTTGAAGGAAGTTACATACATTTTTGTAAATTCAAAACAAATCTTACACGTTTTCTAATGATCTAATTATGTTGTATATTCGTATATTTCGTTTTTTGTTACCCGGTTTTTGGATACCAAGTTTGAACCCAGCATGGAGGATTTACTACCCGGTACCCTTTTTTCTAAAAACCCTATCTAGAAAAGTAACCTCATTCCCTATAATTTGATGTAGATTAATCGAACCCCTATATCATGGGCTTTCAAACAGTATATGAATAGGTACATTTTAATATATAACATTATTTTATGGGGGTAAGCGTTTCATAGTTGGTCACGACGCCAGAAGTGCAAAGTATTGTTCCGAATTTTTGAATTTTGTGTTAGATTACGGTACTCACACCTGAAGCGTGTTTTTTTTGATAAATTACAATAAAGTTTAATTAAATTCCTATGTGTATTTTGTGAAATTGTGTTGACGTTTATTTAAGTTACAATGTAACTGTGCATTATATTTGATTAATCAGTATATGAAAGTTTGATTTAAGTACTTTTACACGCTTTTACATTAGTCCCAATCACGCAAATACCTTGAATGTCCCGAGACATCCTGCAAATTTAGGTGGACTGTCCCGCGAAATCCCGCAAATTTAGGGCACTTTGTCTAAAAAATCTGTCCCTCTATGAAGTTTTTGGTGGTCACCTGTTACCCGCAATTAGGGTGTTTGTCCCTCGAATGATCCCGCGAATTTGATAAAAAAGATTTGGCCTATTAGCGCAATCACGCAAATCCCTTAAATGTCCCGCGAAATCCCGCGAATTTAGTAGATGTCCCGCAAAATCCCGCGAATTTTGGGCACTGGGTCTAAAAAATCTGTCCCGCGAGGAAATCTTTGGGGGTTGACAGTACTGACTGTTATTACACCCTATGTATAGTCTGTCACGTGGCCTTATGATGATGGGTGGGCGAACCTTATCCCGTTCCCGGACTATAGTCCTGCACTGATCGCATTCATTTGCCTGTACGATTACAACTTGGGAGAATTATCTACGCCCCTTACACTTAAGATACCTACCTCAATGCATTATAGAACTCAAGATGTAACTTCTAATATATTGGAACCGCCGATTGTCTGGGTATATCGGCAGAACGGGAACATTTTCTCTTTTTCATCGAGAGAGATTCCATCACTGAAATGGCGGTTGGATTTAAAAGGGGAATCCCCCGTTTGGCTGTCCCGGATGTAGCCCGGAAGTACCAATATGGAGGAATTTGACGGTTGAAATAAGTTAAATGTTACACGCAAATATTGCGATCAAAAACGAAAATGTCTTCGTTCTGCCGATAAACCCAGACAATTGTGGATTCAACTACACGAAAAGAATGCTAAATTACCAAGGAATCTATTGAAGTAGGTATCTGAAGTGTAAGATCAGTAAAAAATTCTCCCATGTTGTAATCGCACAGGCATATCCAGCAATCGTAATGTTAAATCGGACATCACCTTATCTCCTAACTGGTACTATTACTGAGATTTCGTATCAACACTTTAGTCTACTAAATTAATATTTAAAACTCATATATGTGAGCGTTAATGCAGGGGCATTTCATACAGGCTATAAACACCGCCCTTTCATCAAATGTGTTTTCTGGTTTCCTTAATTTCGCCAATTTCTTAAGAAATTGATGGATAATTTCAAGATTATATGATCAGACACATAAACATGGCATATACCACATTAGTTTCTCATATTTAGTTGTTGTTTTTAAGTTGTTGTTTTTTGTTGAACCATATATTACGTACATGGATAACTGTATTTTATTTACAAGTAGGCTGCATCTTGTATTGCCAAAACATAGCATCAAGTTTCACTAGAGCTGCATAGAACACTTCTTATCAGATGTGTTGACAGCTCCCCTGATAAAGAAAGTGTCTGGTAATTTCTGGATTTGGCAAAAGATTGAGATGTTCACAGGACCATAGTCCGGGAACGGGATAAGGCGAACCGTTCGCTGGGTTCGATTCCCAGTTCAGACACGTTTTTAAGTAATTCTGGGTGTTTGAGTGAGTGGTTCACGACTACGGTATAGAGGGTTGTGGTGTGTACTTGCATGTCTGCGTACAGTGTACAAAAATAACACAGGGTTCCTCTAAGAATGGGTTTCTGGCTTTGTCTTCGAGTGTAAAATACGGAATATACATATACTAATGAGGTATTGCTCGCAAAATATGGCGTTAACCAAGATAC